CCACACGGTCACTGCCTGCCTCCGGGGAAATGTACACTGAAGCATGAGACCAGGCCAACACTGTCATGGGGAATGGCTGCAAATGGCATTGTGGGTATTTTGAAGAGCCCTCATAAGAAATAGTTTTAGAAGCCAATCTTATGTAAGTCACTTTCAGGTAACCTTTACCTGTTATAAGTACGTTTTGTATTTGACATGTATCATTCAGAATCTAAGTTTTAGCTGGTGTTACCTATCTTTTCCTTTGCAAACAACAGAATTGCACTGTTCATGCTGGTCCTTATACCCTGTCCCTTTCGTTTTGAGGCCAATGGAAAGTCTCCCATTGACTTTGTGAGCAGTGAACCAGACCTGTTAAATTTCAGTTGTTAGGGCAAATTCCTCCCTCCTTCATGGTCTCACTCAGCAAAGGCGTACTGAGAGCAGTGTACTTGCAGCAGTCTACCTGTGCATTAGGGGTTACACCCTTTCAAAAGCAAACAGCTTAAAATGGGAGCCTGTACCAGCAGTAAGAAACAGCAGGCAAAGGAAACTGAGGGCTGGAGTTCAGTACAGGAAGTCAGCCTGGCAGCTCTTCTACATCCTCCAAAAGCACTCAGAACAAAGTTTTTGTCAGCTGAAATCTTATTGACAATCTCTGTTATTTTCCAGTAAGGGCAGAATAATTCTTGAAGCGAGATAGATTGAAGCTTTCTCCATCTCCTAAGGTGGCCACTAGTAAAAGCTCTGCAAACCAAGCAATCTCAGGTTGCTGTAAATTGCTGTCTAGTTTCTTACTTCACAAATTTGAGCACAAGCTAGAGGAAGTTCAGCAAATACAACCTCCTAGATCTTCCCCATACACTTCCTCATGTAGAAAATGGGCAAAGCTGCCCAAATTCCAGGCAATTACCCTTCCTCTGCAGGGCTGCACTCAGCGATAAAGTGCAGGATGACTTGGTCAACAGATATTTACAAAACAGGACGCCGTTTCAGACAGGTTTCAGAACTTGAATTTCTGAGTAGGAAAGGTTTAGGAAGAAAGGATTTATGGCAAAAGTGGAAAACAAGAAAGTAATTAAAACAGGACCATGAGTTGAGGCTTACTCTGATATATCAAATCAGAAATTACAGTGGAGGGGCAGAGTTTGGTTGCCCTTGTGACACTGCACATCAATGAGCCAGGACTGTTCTATGATATTCTGCACAAATTACACCTTCTGTGGCTCTCCTTCCCTATGAATTTTTCAACTTAAAGAGAGAGTATATGTTCGATAAACAGGAAAGCTATAAGAAAAGGTCAGATCAGGAAGGAAACCTATATGCTACATGTTGGGATCATGCTAACAATAGATGTAGGCTTTGTGGAGCCCGAGAACAGTCTGAACATTCTAGAAACACCACAGAAACGAGCCAGTGGCCATGCCACTGCAGCAGTGGCAGCTTTGAAGAAATCAGATTAATCTAGCAGATTTCTTCTACGCAGTCTGTACCAACAGTACAAAATGAATGGACATACAGAAACCCCTTTCCATCACTGGTTGCTCATGTGTTCCCTTCCAAACCCTCACATAGTTTGACCTGCACATCCTCCTCACATACCACACTCCCCACAAGATTAGCAGTGCCTATCTCACGGGTACACAGCTGCACATGCGCCCTGTACACTTGGGCAGGGAGTTATTGTCCAGCCCCTAATCATTTTTCTGGGTCCTCCTTAAAAGCAGTTAGCAGCTACCCCCTCTAACATCAGAGAGAAAATGCAGTCATGGAATAACTCTGCTGCAATCGGTACAATTAGCAGGAATGTGTTTGACCCCAGCTTCACCTTCTCTGAAATGCAGTTCCTGGTACAAAGTGTTGCAGTCTTTGAGAGTGACATGTTATGAATAACCGGATGTCAGGATCATTGTGTGAAAACAGACAAATCCCCAAATAACTGGCAAGTCTTGAACCAGAAATTGGCATAATAAAAGTATAAATAATTCCTATTTTCATGTTACTTTGCCTTTCTCGTGATAAAAAACCAATGCAATAAACCTGAACTTATGCCATTACCTATAACATCTTACAAAAGTACAGCTGAAGTTGGGTTTTGGTGGCTGCTGTGGTGTGGAAATGTGCCACAAAGAACGTGAAACCCTTCTGTTTCATTCATATTTTTCTTATAGAGAAGGATATATATATATGTATATATATTTTTTTTTAAGGAAACAACAACCAAAGATCTTCTGCCTAGGCTTGCGGTGCTTCTCCATTCACATGCAGATAAGAACCATCTATCTTACTGCTTGGTGACTGGGATTCCTAACTAGAGAAGAAAAATGCTGAATGCCCAGCAGACCTGCAGTGCTTGCATCCAATCTCACCTGTGGTTTACTCCGGGAACAAGCTTCTTATTTCTTGAGAAGGATATGGTGATTTGTGAGGCACTTACTTCTCATTAGAGGAGTAAGGAAAAAAAAGGAGTAATCTAAGGAGCCAACTCCTTGTCTGTAAGAGTTGAGGTCAAGATGACAAAGTATCTCTCTGAGATACCATTATCCAATTATAACTCAAAGTGTTTGCAAAAATGTTTTATTCCTTTAAACTAACGAGTGTCACAGTGCTCTGTTTTTTTTTCTGCAAAATTGACGTGCTTGGCTGTAGAACAAACTGTACTTCTTAGGAATGCAGCCATTGCTTTCCTTCTATACTTATTTTTGCCCACAAGAAACCTTATCTTCCATCTACACTCACACAATTGTAGTCCCTCTTCTCTCTTTCATTTTATTGCTGACTTTCAAAGAATCCTTCCAACCCCATGCCACACTACCTTGCTCCTTCTATGATGTGCACACAATGACCTCTCTTGTCCACGTCATATGTGGTCTAATCCTTTTCATTGAGCATCATTTGCACAGTAATCCTTTCCCTTCTGTGACATAAGCACAAAACTCCCTTGCCACCACTGCCACTTGCAGAAGAATCCCGTACTTCTAGTGACATGCAGGCAGTAACCCTTTATCTTCTGTGCTGAAACCAAAATGATCACGTAGCTTTCCTTTGATACAAAATTGACAGTGCAGCCTTTATGTTAATACTACAAAGAACACACTGCTGTATTTTTATTCCAAATGTACCCAAATATTAACCTTCACTTGGCCAGAAAGCAGTATGAAGTACCACAGTGAAAAAAGTAAGGTATAGAGCCCAAATTTTTCTCTATGTTTTGAGGAACTTCAAGAAATAACCTCAATTTTTTTAAGGGCTTAAATAAAGAGACGAAAACAACTTTTATGGACATTCTAGCATTTTTCCTGGGTTTTTTTTTCCCTTTTGCTCCCCTCTTTTTCAATGACATGACCAAAAAAAAAAGGCAGAAATTGTAAACAGGAAGAAGGAATAGAGAATTAGAGGTGACTTAGAGCTCGAACCCAAACTTGGTCTTGTAAATAGTCCGGCCTCTGTATTTTTCAGGTGAATTTTTTTTCCTATTAATTAAAAAAAGTGAAGTAAAAACCTTTTTGTCTTAATCCCCCTCTTCTGCTGCAGCACAGCAATTATCACAAGATAGAAGAGAAAGAGAAGGCAAAAGACTAGTGACCAGGACTGCTAAGTATAATCAAGTGAACAAGTCATTTAACCTGCTTTGTTTTAAGCCTTATCCAAACTCAAACAGATACCTGTTTAACCAGGGCTTTACAGCCTCCTCCAGTCAGGAGAGCCGTGTCTTTAACTCATTCCCTAGACAGCTGCAGCAAGACAGGAAGCTGGTAGGGTTTGGGAATGATTGCCTTAATTTGATACACCCTTACACACAGCGGTGTTGCATTTGGGGATGATTTGGGTTTAAAATGATCCTGTTTATTCTTTGGCCTGCCTATTTTCACCCTGCTGCCACAGCATGCTTTCAAAACAGGGCTCAATTAATTAAATGTTAAGTCTGACCCTTTGCAGAAACCCTACATTTAAATCCATTGACTCTAAATTGGTTTTGTCTGCTATCAGAGTGGCATATGTTTGCTAGGATTGGTTTGACGCTGTATCTTTGGTAAGCTACACACAAATTCCTTGTAACAGGAACAGTGACTAATACCTCTAGGTGCTCCAGTGTTTGTAATATGCTTTGACATCCTGTGTGGCTGGTGCATTTGAAGCGGGAGATTTACTGTTTGCTCCTAGAGTAGCTGCAGTATGTGCTGTTAGCTCCTGATTGGTACTAGCCACAATGGCTGCTTGAACAAAATTCAGGGTAGAAAAACCACAACTGCATTTTTTGAACAAAGACAGTAATTATGGTAATCGTATCACTTCAGCATTTTTCTTGCCTGTGTTTATGAACAAGTGATGTGAGCCAGCAAGAACAGCAGCTTCTTCCCTTCAAATTAATTCCTGCTTTGGAGTAGCAGGATAGATATGATAAGACTTTTGGTATGTTTTCGCCTGCATTTTTTCAGTGGTGCATTACACATTCACCACAATTCTTCACCTCTACTGTCACTTTTATGGCAGTGTTTTCCTTTTCCTCCTCTTCAGTCATGGGTATGCTAATCTTTTGTGTCACAAGCAGCACAACCCCTCCTTTATATTGCCCCCTCCTCCTGTGCACAGTCCTGGATTATGCAGTTAAAAGAAAAAAATCATTTCACCTGCGAAACGTAAACCAATGTAATTGTTGCTGTTGCTATTTTTATTTCCATTAACCACTAAAATCAGTCTGGACTGAATAATTAAGCAGCTATTTGTGTCACGTTTTTCAGTGCTGAATGTAACCCATTAACCCCATAGGAGCAAGGTCCTTGAATTCTGAATAATTCTAGGGGTAAACTGTGATGAATCAGGGCTGAGATAAGAGTCAGGCACCTTTAAACAAATCTGGAGCATATTCTTGGCACTCGAGGTTTGTTCTGTGTTGCAAGCTGTTTCTGCTCTCCCTTTTCTTTCTATCTTTCCCCATTCAACTGAATCCCATAGGAAATGCAGAATGACTCTACTTAGAAAAAGTGTTTTAGTTCATTCTTTCTGTTATGTTGTATTCTACACTTGAAATTGTCGTAAGTCTCACTCTGGTCTCATGTTTTCTCGCAAATAGATCCTTGTTAGCTGTAGCTGCTCTTGGACATGCTCCTCTGACATGGTGCAGCTGATATAACATGGCTCAGTGAGCACTATCAGTAGCAGTATTCCTGGGACCGGTGTAAGTGCACTGGCCTGTCCTTACCTGTGAAGCTGTGTGGCCAAACTGGTCTGTAAATGAAGGGTGGACGGTTCTTTCCTACTACATCAGCTGCTGCTGGAAGCAAAGGACTGGATGTTTTTTAACATGAAACAATGTGTTTTAAGCTCTCTTCCTGAGCAGGTACTTGGGAGGCAGAATGACAACTCTCCCCATAGATGCACAGCTCTGCAAAATTTAAACAAAAGAGTTAGTACCCAGTTAGAGTCTACCATGTGTGCCTATGGCCGTACATACCACCCTCCTCAGGTAAAAATACCCATGACATTAAGAGACCAGCATTTAATTTGGTCTACTGCATCAAAGCAGCCATACAATTATTTTGCCCCATAATTTCTCCACCAGTCCCAATCACTTTTAGCTGAATTAGACTGTCCCTTTCTGAGAGATGGCCAGCTCTGATTTAAGGACTCAGAACTTTTCCATGTCCCTCTGTGACCTGTTACGAAGTTTAGTGAATTGACTGCTCGCTCTTCTCATGGCTACACAACACATATCAGCCACTTTGTGTATTGACTTAAAACACATGTGTAGTCAGTGATGTGAACAGGGCTTCTTATATGAGTAATGGTGGTGAGAGCAAGCCCTGTGCTGGGCCTGTTGATTCAGGAAATGCAGACTTTCAGGTTTAGAGGAGGAGCTCAGCCTGGGATTACTGGCTGGTCAGGGCAGCACCACTGCTTCATCCAGTGCCCTTCAGTCCTGGAAGCTTTTGTACTTACTGACTCATCTTCCCTTTCTCTGTCTGAGACTACAAACTATGTCTCAAATTGGAGACACAGTTAGACAGCAGGTGAAAATAAATAAATAAAAATGAAAAGTATATTAGGTGCAACATCTCTCTTTCAACACTAGCTGTGTCGCAAGACCAACTGTCAGACAAGGGGCCAAATCCTGAACTGTGGGGAAGCAGAACTCAAAGTATGTAAATATTCTTTCTATGCTTTAAGAAAACATGTGCAAACTGGGAAAATTATGGCATTAAAAGATAATGTTATGAGAAAAATCAGGAGCATATACAGATGTCTGAAAATATATCCTCAGTCTGCAAAACAGACTGAGCAAACATAACTAGGTATGTTCAGTTTACACCAGTAATTCTGTGTAAGCTGGGAGTAAGCACAATACCTAATATGAAACCAACGAGCATGTTGGTAAAATCCCCTGGTGAAGTTCAGAGATCGTTGCACGATCCAGAAACATATTTTTCAGTTTTTCTCTCTCTTCTTCAATATCTCCTTTTTCTCTCCCTGAGGAAGTAACAATAATTTAATTCTGACTCATATACAGAAAGTCTCCTAGACCAGGATGGTTAACTTATAATGAGACACTTTATGAGCCACTGTCTTGGCTTACTAAATACCTTCTCTGCAGCTTCAGCTTTGGTTTAAGAACCTGTAAGAACACAGTTAAGGCCTTACCATTTAAGCAGGAGCTGTAGTTGGTGCTGGAGTATGAGGGGGCCTCCTGAAGCAACCCACTGACAGCAAAAGCCCGTCATCTTGGGAAAACTGCACTGGTGTGAAACCTAGGAGGAAACACAACCACAACAGAAACCAGCATGCACATCTGTGAGCTGCCTCCTGCTCCTTGTAAACAAGAGCTATAAACTCATTGACAAAAACTGAAAAGCCCTAAAATAATCCTCTAAAAAAGACCACTGTAAACTGCCAAGAGAGCTGTTGACTTGGATGGGAAACCGTGTTTCCACTTTCTCCACAGAAACAGCAGAAATGAAAGTCTGCTAACAGGTCCTGTCCCCAGAGGTCCGAGCCCACCCACTCCTAGGGAGGCTTTTGGTTTACTTCAGCCACCCTTAGTGTGGAAACAGAATAACTGAATCAAATGCTACAAAACTGAACTGCTGATGTGCTCAACCCAAGCTGCTGATGGCCCATGGCTGAGCTGGCCAAACTGCACGAACCTTTACACAACAGGAGCAGTGCTGAGCCTAGAAGGGTGGGTGCTGCAGTGCTGTGCCAGCTGAGCGCTTGCAGATCAGGTTGCTGTCAGAGGCTTGTGCTCTCAGGTTGCACGCCTGCTGTGTGCCCTACTTTAGGAGCCAGCTTGTTCTCTGAAGAGGTGGAAGCACGTGCTGCTGGCTGAGACGGACACCACTGGCTCAGCCTTGGGCCAGGGCAGCAGATGCCACGCTTCCAACTCTAGTGTTGCCACACATATCATACCCAAGGACATGGTGCCAGTGGGTGTCTCACTAATCAGGGATGTCATGGGTGCTTCTTGGGACATAGGGTCAATAAAGTGTGCCTTCACATACGGAAGTGCAACATATGTTTCTGAAGGGCTGAGACTACTAATGAGATCCCCTGGTGTTGTACATTACCTGCTGCACTGACAGGTTCATATCTAGACAGATAGATGTGTGTTTCTCAAGGAGTAAGTTACAGCCTGGGGAAGCATTCTGTGGGCTTGGTGTTTACAGAAAACTGCAACAGAAGGAGGCTGTGGTGTTGGAGAGGAATCACGGCACAGTTGCATGTGAGTCAGTCTGGTATCGAAATATTAAAGAATAAATTGCATTACTCCCAACCTTAAGGACTGTGAATAAAACACAGCAATGAAGTTTTATCTGTGCTCAAGTGCATATTTTTTATGTGGCTAAAGTTGTTGGCAGATGTTCTTCACTAGAATAGATTTTGCCTTCACTAATCCCGTATTAATCTGCCGGTAGAGCTATAAGTGCATTATTACCAGTGGGATCCTTGTGGAGAAGACAGTGCTCATGGAGGCCCGGTTCCCCTGCACCTCCCTCTGCAGAGCTGCAGCTCGGAGTTCAGGCATGCTCGTACCGGGGGGGAGCACCCCGCACAGCCCCCGTTTCTGTTACCGCTACAGTGCTCTGCCAGGAGAGGGAGCTACGACTCTGAGATTCAGGGGCCTTTGATGTTTTCTGTTCACAAATCATGAGGGTGTTACAGCTGTCCAACACTAACATAGGCTTTCCTGTCCGGCTGGGTGGGTACTCAGGGGGCTCATGGCTTCCCAGGAAGGCTACATACTGCAGAAAGGGTTTTGGACTCTGATGCTCCAAAATGTGTTTTGGGGCTCAAGGTCACTTTAACTGCCTCCCCAGGTGAACTCCAGTGGGAGTTTGGATTTGGTGAAAATGAAGCCTACAGATTCTGGTATCATGCTATAGGTGTAAAGCCACTGAAATGCAGCCACTGCTGGAGTGGAGGTCGAAAGCAATGGGTGCATAACAAGGCAAACAGCAGCTGAGAGGAGGGAGAAATTTTGGTTAAGGCTACCAGGTGGGACACAGATGTTTGACATTTCTTTTAACTTCGAAACCCATCAGCCCTCTTCCTCCTGAAGTATATGTGTTTCATTTTGAACAAGTAACTGGCAGCTGGAGAAAGTTATTAGAAAATGCTAAGTCTATGTTCCAGCACTTGCAATAGCAGCAGAATTACCTGTTTCTTATTCGGCCCAAGCCTTCTGTCTCCTTTTTAAGATACTGTTGGCCTCAAGTCAAGTTTTGCTTAAGTTATGTATCAGAAGGGGAATAAGTGGAGCTCCAAGCTTGCTTAAAGAGTAGAAAAGGGAATTTAAACAAAGCTGGCAGAGATACCAATGCAACTATTATCTAGCTTTTGGATGCGTTTGAGCCTGCTGGTAAGAAAACAGGAAATAAGCGAGAAAACAATGCTTAAAAATGTGAAAACCAGCCAATCCTACAGGGCTCCACTCTGTGCTCAAATGCCTGTAAGTGCTGATAAAAGAGTGCATATGACGAGAAAGTGCAGTATCATTATCAAAGGCCCTTTTAGTCTTACATTCATTTCAAATACTGGAGTCTAGCAAGGGAAGGAGGATAACCTCATTTCTTCTTTGACTAACGAAATGTGGTCATTGACCAATCTGCACTCTTTTCCTTTGAGGTGGTTGATAGGGAGTTGTGCTCCCCTCCTATTTTCTACCTGATTTAAAAGTGAGAATAGAGAAACATGGTGACAGTTTAGAACACTAGAAGAATAGCTCCTCAGATGCTGCTGAGCCCTGTTAGCCAGGAGGTGCCTAGAAGACAAGCTGGACAAAGGATTTTTGAAAGATAACACAGTGTGAGCAACCACTGGAAGCTGTGAATACTGAGGGAGGCTCCTTCACAAGATGTGCCTTTTATTGGCTGTGAGTCAGAAAAATGCTGTGATCTTCTGAAGCCCTCAGCCTGCATTACCTCATGGTCCAAGGGGTCTGTTTTGCTTGCTAGTTGCTGGGAGGCACTGGAACAGAAGCTACTCCCAGAAGCATGGCAAGTGGCCATCAGGGTGCAGGAAGTGTTTGGTAGCCAGGCCCCCAGGTTTATGGCTTTTGTCATTTCTGTCCTTGCAAAGGGTTCTAACTGATAAGGATGAATGGTGTGGAGCTTTGCATGCAGGAGCTGTGGTTGTGACTTCCCATCTCTGCACCAGCCAACAAGTTATTATAAAAATAAATACCTCAGCAACAGCAGAAGCATTCCCAAGAGCCTATTTACTTCCACTGGCATGAACTAATTCCTGCAGAGGAGCTCAAGCCAAATCCTACAGAGACCAGCAGGAATCTCTCCAGGCTCCTGCAAAGGCAGTTTGCACACTGGAGTAAATGCTGGTACTTGGTCATATTTATTGCCATGTCAGTTAAAAGATGTTGTCAGTTAACACCTTTTCCAATACAACATATATTTTCTAAAGCTGAAGGAAAGTGAGCTTTTTTACCTCCTTTTATTTTTAAACTAGTTACTCTGATTTACCTCTGCAATTGCACAACACACTAAATGGTGGCTCATGGAGTGGCCAGGGATCAATTATTACCTTTTCATGTGCAAAGTGATCCTAAGGTATCTATCAATCTCTTAAAGTCCTATCTCCAAAAGACATGCCCAATTTCAGAATACTGGAAGGATAAAAAGAAAGCTAAGGCAGGGCAACATTTGCTTTCCTTGGCTTGCTCTCTAGGAGATGGTTGATGGGTCAGTTTATTATCCATAGGAAGAATGAACAAGCCAATACACCCTTTTCAAGGTTTGCAGGTGCCTTAACTTGCTCATTTAATTTGGATCTATATACCTCATGAGAAGGGCAGAAGATTTTCATTTTCAAGGCCTTATTTAGCCATAAAACATGTATCACGTTAGCTAAGAGCAGGTCTATGAATTTCATTTTATTTGGTGACAGGAGAAATAGGGATGTATATATCACCCTTTCAGTAACTGCTATTAAAAGGTGCATGTTTCATGAAGAAACAGTATATTCCATGTCATAACATCTTTTTTGAAATAAAAACCAGTGTATTTCTAAGATACGTATATGAAAAGTATTAGTTCACTCATATTAACAGTATGAGGAAAATATAAGCCCCTTTTGTGAGTGGAGCTGGTCACACCTGGAAAATTAGGATGGATTTTGCTGGCTCCAATGAAGTCACTAGGAGATTTTCTATGGCCTCAATGGGGGTAGAAATTCTCCTAGATTTCATACTGTTTAGATAGTGTACAATTTAGACACCAAGGTCATTAAAATGCTATAATCCCCAGTGTGATACATGATGGGGTAAAAGCACTTACGAAGGTATTGCTTTCTAAACTGGTGTAATTATGGTAGTAATTCCCAAAGAAGGAGTATTGCAAATGCATTTCCAGTTCCAGTTTCTCAATGCTTTTCGGCAGTGTTCATTACAGTAGTGATATGCTTGTGCCTAAATCTTCTTGATGTCCTTCCAGAGGGCACTAAAACCCCTCAAATAAGTAAAGAAAAATTCAGTTGGTGATATTGACTGGCTGCTGAATTGTTGCCTTTTGAGCCTTGTCCCTCAGCTCATAATCCAATGTTCATTCTAATACTACACAGACTACTTGCTCTTTGTTTATGTTAAACCACTTACAGTTTGTCTAACTTAAATTAGGGGGAACACAAAAAAGAAAAAAGAAAAATAAAGCCCTCCCCTCACCAAACTTGGAGGATTTGGGGTAACAAGCTTAAGAGAGCTATCCACAGATATATTTTCAGTCCTTGGGAAGTTTGCAGGCAGGGCGAAGTCGCCCTGTGGGGTAGTGTGATATGGGGCGGTGGGGGACTAGTTTCAGTGGGGCTCTAGTGACAGTGCACAGGGCTTGGGCACCCAGTTTCAGGGCAGAGGGTCTATCCCTCCTGGCAGTGCATAGGACAGGGTCTTGAAAACCTCTTAAGGCTCTGAGAAAACATACAGAGTTGTGAACCCACCTCTTCCATTTTTAAGACTAGGATGAACATACCAGATTCCTACTTATGGCAACAAGATTCCAGCTGAGATAAGCACCAAAGTCTCACACAGACTGAAAAGAGGGCTTGACTGTTTCCTGACAGTGATCCTCTCAGCAGCAATGAAAATCAGCTAGAGGTAAATAATTGAATGTTCTCTTCATGAAAAATGAAATCCTGATCTTAGAGCCTACTTCTTTTTAACACTACAGTCGCACTGTATTCCTCAACAACCAGAAGGAGGCAGAGGTGCTAGAGGCTCTGGTATTTTATTTTACCCAGGGATAGAAATTTGCCTTGTGTGCTCTGTGCATTGGCGATAAATGTGTTTCCTTCTTCTCTGATGCCTAACATCTGCATTTCTCTTTGCTTATTAAAGCCACCTCCTTTCCACTGCTTAGCTTAGTTCTCAGGTGTTATTTGAAGAAAAAAGTGCTGTTCTTTAGGCAAGAAAACCAGAAAACCCCCACTGTATTTATTCTCTTCCTTTGACTGTGTCAGTCCTTTGACAAATGATGACAAGATTTCTGTTCCTGTTGAGTTGCCGGCTTCTTCACAGGTGCTACCAAATAAATACATCAGTTTGGAAGATGATTTCTTACAACTGTCTGGGAAATTGCAGTGACACAGTCAACTCATTTCTCATATGTCTTTATCAGATAGCTACCAGATTAAAGACTACATGAAAAATACCTGCCTTGATTAGATACCAGATTAAAGATCAAATGAAAAATACTTACTTGGATTGGATTTGAAATGGTCACTGGGTTCACTGTGATTTTATATCTCCTCATTAGCCTCTGGAACTATCTCCTAACACATTGCAAAAAGGAGCTTGGTGCCTTCTAAGCTAGAAGGAAACCTGCAAATAATTAATATTTCATTTGAATACTTCCTCTGAAACCCTGATGGTGTCTCAGACAGATTACCAGCTTGGATTTTCACAAACCATGCAAATTGGTGTTTCTTACTGGTGTTACCAAAGAATTAAAAGCATACAACATTTACATCTCGTGATTTGATATACCCTTTATTTGTAAATAAACCCATATTTTCTGTTTTTCTAATAGATGATTTTGTTGATGTTTAGTACATTAAGTGTCTATAGTACACAAGCAGTAAGTAATTCAAGTTTACAGTTAAGACACGGAGTAAATGGATGCAATGCCGAGTTGGGACTCAAAAGTGTTATCACTTTCTATAGAATAGATAACAGTAACCTGTCTGTGACAAACACATTTTCCCTACAGGTTTTAGATTATTTTTAGAAGCTACCATGTTCTAGGCCATGATTGCCAGTATTTACCCAGCAGATGCTGCAGCCTCTTGGTGAATGTGGCAAGCGGTACCAAAACTATCTGGAGCAGGTGACAAGACTGAGGGTGAATAGTTTTGTGGCTTGATCCTCCAAATAATAAGCTAAAAAAATGTAGTAAGATAATTTGTCATCATTATTATTTAGCCTACACCCTTTCTACACTGAAAGAAGTTGTGGTGAAGTTACTTGTGGCCTATGGCTGACTATCATGTCTCTTTCTTTGACCTGAGAAAGCAGTGTGTAATCATCATTGTTAACAATTCCAGCATGTGGTTAACCCAAATGCTTGGGTAAAGATTAATTACCCAAACCCTTACTTAATGAAAATGAGAAACTTGACGTACCTCAGCGTCTTCTCACTTCAAAAGAAAGGCTCATACCATCAAGAATTTGCAAGAAATCCACCTTGCAAAGGTGGATTGCAAAATCCATCTTACAAAGACTTAAAGCTGTGGCCTCACCAAAGCATAGGAGACAACTCTGAGGGCTGGGCTACACAGCAATGGTTTAGCAGCTCATGACAGCCATGTAGGTGAATAGTTCATAAGCCAAGCACTTTAAGTACGACTTTACGGAACAGAGGGCTACAGTATGCTTTCCTGGTACAAAAGGACTCAAATTTCACAACTGTTGGCTTTGGTTGCTATAATAACAATTATGCTAAAATTAGTGCCTGATACATGAAATATTTTCTTTATGATAAATAATCAAAACAATTCTATGAGGACAGAAAATTTGGTAGGATATATAATCTACTTGGACAGCAGGAACTGTCAGTACTCATGTATCTACATGGGAAACAAGACAGCAAGAAAATGTAGTGCTTCAAGCATATTCTAAAAGGATTTTTGTGCAGAAAAATTCTCTCAACACAGAAATCAAAAGGCTTATAACAGGGAAAGGCAGTGCTTGCTCTGCAGTGACAGCTTCATGTTTATTCTAGAAAAAATAAGAAGGAGATACTGAAATAAAGACAAGATAATTTTATTCCCAGATCAAATAAAGAAACACAGAGTGTGTTCTCATCAAAGTGATTACTTTAGGGGGAAC